GAAGCATGTTGCTGTGTGTTTGCTGAATGTTTGAATATGCATCTCCTTTCTTGTTATGTCACTTGTTTCTGCTGTCCCCAAAGTGGCCAAACAGTAATAGCAGTATCTTACTTAGCGCTCTTTAAATTAAAATTTTGGTGGGCTGTGAACAAAGTACACAATGTTCAGAGCCTCCTCTACCCTCCTGAGGTTCAACCTGTGGGTTTGTGTCGCTCCAGGCACGGCCTTCAGGTCCACTACCCCAGCCAGACTGCAGCACCCTCCAGAGGCTTCCCAGATTTCCTGCTCCGAGTGCCAGCTGCCAGCAGGGCCGAGCCTGAGTCCGGCAGCACCACAGAGGTCAGTGACTCTGATGAGGAGGCCGAAGCGCAGGTAGAAGGGGATGAAGGAGGTGTATCTGCCCCTGTGTTGCCTGGTGACCCCGCCCCGCCTGCCAGCCCTCGCCTCAGTGCCTCTGTGCAGCACACACAACCACAGAACGCCGGCTCAACTGGTGAGTCGCTCAGTGTTCACTCCATTGCAGACTCAGACTAATAATGATGCTGTAATTAAGCTCCAGCTAAGCTTGTGCATATTTTATTTATTGAATTATCTCTATGCTCAGACTCCAGTTCAGCTGCAGACAGTGAGAGGACAGAAGCCCCAGATCAGGGTGTCCAGGTAACATTCAGACCCATCACTCCACTTTCCACGTCCATACTTCCAGTGATAATATTCATGTCCAGTGGAGTGAAAAGTTTCTGTTCTTTGCTCATAAACCTTTAAGTGGCAAATAGTCCCTTTTATGAAGAGCTACAGTAATAATGACGAAAACCTGCCTATTTTTTTCCTGAATACTGAGGATTTGCTCTTTAACTTTGGTACAAATGCAACCGGCGTTCAGACTAATAAAACTGGAAAACCCACCTTCATTAACTTTTATTTTAAGTGCTTCTTGTTCACTGCCTTTGCCAGCCAGCCAAAGTCACAGGAATGGGACAGATGTGAGAATACATTGACCTCTGACCTTTGATCACCAAAATCTAATCAGGAGACCAGAGCAGTTTGGAGGAATTAGATTTTAGGTACAAGTACAAGGTAAGTTTGTAGCCTGGTGTTGATCCTGCTGTTTACCTGTGCAGCATTGATACAGAGGAGAAAATAATTAGTGCTGTGACTACTGGAAAAAGTCCTGCTGTTCAACCATCCAACTGGTCTTAGTGGTTTGTGTTGCCTGTAGCCGCTGAGCCTTTCCAGTACACCAGGTTTTTTGGTCTGAATGCCCTTGACTCAGATTTTGTTTCATTTTGTCATCATTTTGAACCTGTAGCTTCAGCCCTGGTTTTTTTAGTCTACGTTGCTTTTACTGTCTTCATCTCCATCTCTAGTCGGCTGTTGCAGCCCCAGCTTCCATCCCATTGGCTCACAGCGAGGAGGGTGAAGGGGACACCTGCACCATCTGCTTCGAGGTGTGGACGACGGCGGGCGAGCACCGGCTCTCCGCCCTGCGCTGCGGACACCTCTTCGGCTTCACCTGCATCCAGCGCTGGCTGAGAGCTCAGGGGTCAGCCGCTAAATGTCCGCAGGTCGGTGAGCTCTCAGCCCTCTGATTGTCAAGTTTCAGTACAAGTTTTGGACCGATTCTGCAGCTGTACTTGTATGTTGTCTTGAAGAACTTGTATTTACCGACCCGCTGTTGCTGTTTTTTCCATTAGTGCAACAAGAAGGCGAAGCGCTCCGACATCGTGAGGCTGTACGCCCCAAAGCTGAGAGCGCTGGACAACTCTGAGCAGGAGAGCTTAAAGAGGTGAGTAATGCTTCCTGTGCTCTAACCCACACCAGACCACTACAGGTCCAGTTGGTTTGTGGAAATATGTGTACATGTTCATGAGAAAATCTAGCCTTTTCCTACCCAGGAGGCTTCACAGACCTAGTAACAGTCACCAGGTTCATCTTTTGTGTACAAATATAAATGTTGCATATTCATGTCAGATGTGTGACATTAGTGTGGGTCAAGTGTTTCAACTAAAGTGTCGTCTGTTGGTGTGCAGGTCTCTGGAGCAGGAGCAGTCTCTGAGGAGGAAAGCTGAACTGGAGTCGGCTCAGTACAAAGTCAAACTGCAGGTCGTCACCAGCCAGTATGGTCAAGTGCAACAAGAGCTTCAGGTACCAGTGCTGACTTCCTGTAATGTCCTCCGGCTTTAATGATACTTGACTTTAATTTGTTTTTGATTACTTTTGGTTTCCTGTTGGTTAAATTGTGTCTAATACTGTGTGTGGTAATTTCATCAGTTTTTTATTTTGAACAGTGAGATCGCTTTGAAATGGTTCAGTATGTTCTGTGTTAGGAACCAAGTGCATTTTAATCCAGATCCTCACAGAATATTTCTGAAGTCTGAATTTTGTTGCTGGATTAATTCAACTTCAATGGTCAGCCATAATTAATTAAATATCTTTTGCGTTTAAAATACAATGCATTTCATGCAACATAAAGCTCTACCCGGGCACAGGTCCCACCTTTACTCAAGCCACACAGTTATTTTCTTCAGTGTCTGCTGCATTGAGTGAATGTGCTTTGCATTGTGCTGTGTGCACTTCCTTTGCTTAGCCCACTATTCCAAATTGTCCACTTCCAGTGAACGTGTTGCCGTTCAGATGTTGTAGAAGTGTCAGGAGATGAATTTCTTGACATCCTCCTAGTTAAACTGTCCTCTCTTCTCTCCCTCTACAGGAGCTGAAGACTCTGATGGCGCAGACCGGTAGAAGCTCAGTTCCCTCCTCATCCTCAGGGTCGATCTCGCACCTCTTTGGTCTCTCTCAGCGGGCCAACAGCTCCAGGGCCACCCACTACAGCTTCTCCAAGGCAGTCTTGGTGTGTCCGGCTGGAGGCTGCAGGGTCTTATCGTACTGTGAACCAGTGAGTTGCCTACTGGCCTCGCAGCCTTCCCCCCACTCAGCACTGGTGCCTGGTGAGTCTTCTCTTTTTACTGCTGAAGCACCTGAGACAGGGCCCGAGGACTTGAAATGATTCCAGAGCATCATGGCTACACAGCTACAGACCAGTAGAGGTGTCCTGAGCAGATCAAAAACAGATCCTGTTTTAATGTACTTCACTGTTTCTTCACCTCAGCCTGCCAGAGCTTTTCTATCATCCTTCCAACATCCATCATGTCACCATTGTGCAACAGTGTGTTCACTGTTGTAGTCTCATTGAGCAAATCTTGCATCTTAGACAAACCCATTATTTGTTTTTGCTGTTTACCTCTTGTCATGGTTTCTCAGATGTGGTGGAAACACAAAGAGGAATATGTAAGATGGACTGTAAGTTATAGTTTGTGGGATGACTTTTACAGGGCAGCCTGCCCTGGACTTTACGGAGCACGTTCTCGTTCCTCAGACAGTGAACCTGTTAGACCCAAAACAGAGTCCTGGTCTGATTCTGTAGGAAGATTTGAGTTACTGGCCAGCTGTCACCTGTAGCAGTGAGCTTGCAGCTCAGTGTCAGGAGCCTTCCCTCCTCTTCTCTGATTCATGTTCTCATCAGGTCAATTTTCTGTCTCCTCCCTTCAGGGTATGGGGTGAAGAAGGTGAGTGTGGTGAGCACGAAGACGAGTCAGTATATTCCCATCCACAGCAAGCAGATCAGAGGTCTGTCCTTCAACCGACAGAACGACAGCCTGCTGCTGTCCGCGGCCTTGGACAACACCATCAAGCTGACCAGGTATATACACACACACCATGTAGGAGCTGGTGTGTTACTAGAGCTCTGTGTAATCAGAGTCACAAAGATTGACAAGTGGACTGTGTGTGTGTGTGTGTGTGTGTGTGTTGCAGTCTGCTGACCAACACAGTGGTTCAGACCTATAACACAGGTAGACCCGTGTGGAGCTGCTGCTGGTGTTTGGACAAACCTCATTACATCTATGCCGGTCTAAACAATGGCTCGGTGCTTGTCTACGACACCAGAGACACGAGCACACACAGCCAGGAGCTGGAGCCGCTACGCTCCAGGTACACAACATGCACACACTGTGCACTAAAACACAAGGCCAGCATCTTCAAATGTTTGAGTTTGGTGTGAAACAGCATCTTCCTGTGAACTGAGGATTATGTTGGATTAAACCTGCTCACTCACTGTAGTGGAGACCTGCAGCTGCCAAACAGAGGAATGTAAACATATTTACTGTTCGAAAGCCACCAACGCTGATGTCTTATTTTTCCTCCAGGTGTCCGGTTGCATCTCTGTGCTACATCCCTCGGGCGGCATCCAGCTCATTCCCCTGTGGCGGGCTGATAGCCGGCTCTCTGGAGGGCGGCTGTTTCTGGGAGCAGGTCAACGACGTCACATACAGACGTCACATCCTGCCACTGGAGACAGGCGGCTGCACCGACATCCAGGGGGGGGTCTGGTCACGTACAGGCCAGGTGAGAGCCAGGCCCTGCACGGCCTGATGCCCTGAGACGACCAGGCTGTCGTGTTCGTTAGTATGGTCATCATTAGTCAGCTGTACATGTCTGACATGGTTAATGCTTTAACCTGGGGGGAAAAGAAACAGAATGCAGGTGAAGATTATTTCTGCTGCCTTACCTGAAGCTCCACAGCAGCAGGACAGAGCAACCAGACATCAAGTGCAACTAGCACTTGTTTTCAGTACCTCTGTGACGTCTTCAGGTGTCTTATTTTGTCCAATCAACAGCCCAATACTCGAAGATTTCTGGTTCACTGACAGAGACACAGAAAGTCAGACTGGAGGAGCAGGAACTGTTTCTTTTGGCTGGCGATTAGTTGCCTAATCATTTCCTGTGTGATGGTGTTTGTTGTGCAGGGCGCTCCAGCCCGTCCCTGCGCTGTGTCCTGATGGCTCTGAACCGGGTCCCTCCACAGCACTCGGACCAGCTGCCCAGCTGCTCCTTCTCTCCGGTGCAGACATTCAGCGCTGGCTCATCCTGCAAACTGCTCACCAAGAACGCTGTGTTCCAGAGTCCAGACGGAGGGAGGACTCTGGTCTGTGCTGGGGACGAGGCCTCCAGCTCCACCATGGTTTGTTCTGTGTGTGTGTGTGTGTGTGTGTGTGAGAGAGACAGAGAGAGAGAGAGATTGACTGGCTCTGTGAAGACTCTGACAGTGGACATCTGGTGGCTTCATGTTTAGCTGATTTATCTTTCTTTTGTTTGTTTTAATTTTAAAATGCCAAAAGTTGCCAAACAACATTCTCAGCATCCTCTTCTTCATTCTTTGCCTGTCTGTCTTCTTTTTCCCTTTCTTTGTATCCTCCTCCTCTTCCTCCTCTTCTTCTTTCCCTTTCTTTGTATCTTCCTCCTCTTCTTCTTACTCCTCCTCCTCAGGTGTGGGACGCAAGCAGCGGCTCTCTGCTCCAGAAGCTTCCAGCTGACCTCCCAGTGCTGGACATCAGTCCGTTCAAGGTGAACAGCGAACACTTCCTGGCTTCGCTGACAGAGAAAATGCTGAAGCTATACAGATGGGAGTGAATGAGGAAGACTGTGTGTGTGATGTGTGAGCCGCTGGTTTCATCCAGAACCAGGAGAAGGACGTGCACAGTTCCAGAGCTCAGCAGAGAACGCAGACTGGGTTGGAACTAAAATGCTGCTAAACATTTGTCTGTACGTTTACACCCAGCAGATCTCTGAATCCTGGAAGAGATCAACCGGGGGAAACATTTCAGATTCTTCATTATTACTTTGGATTTCTTTTAACCACGAGTCTACATTATGTCATCTGGTGATCTTTGACCTTTACACAAAGCCAGTGGAAGCCTTTGCCAGGTGTGTGTGTTCACTGGACACGCTGAGGTTCTTCTGAACCATGCTCCCATTCAGAGTCACTGGAACTGATGAAGATGAAGAAGGCCTTTGTTTTGGTCTGAGCGGGGTTCTCTGGAGGAGCAAATGGTGTCAGTCGTGCAGCTGAAGGACCAACAGTGTGTTTGCAGGTTTCTGTCTCACATTTCACTTGTTAGCTTGAAAAAGGGCTGGTTTCATCTCTGATCAGGTTTGTACTTATTTTGGTAACTGTTACATTCCTGTTTATTAATTTGAAAACCCTGGGCCACGCTACACCACGGCCCTGGGCCGACCTCTGTATTGGCAGGTATCAGCCGAGTTTTTTTCTTTATCACAGGTATATTGGTACAAGCCTGTGTCAGTAATAAATGGCAGATGTGTTGGAGGTAATTCAGAGACCATCTCTCCGTTACTTAGTTTGTTCACGAGAGAGCTGACAGGTTTATTTTTACAGTGTAAAATGGCCCTCAGTATCAGTTCCACTCCACTCACAACTCAGATGTAAGTGACCAGAAGAAATTCAAACCTGTTCACTGTGATGGATAACACACCATCTTTTATAGCATGCATTAATGAGTAGAAACTAGTAGAAACCTAGACAAAGATTTCTACAAAACAGATCTCCTGATGTGAGTTGAAATCATTTGTAGTCAAAGGGCTGAGCCATGCAGAGCCTCAGGTTTGGTTCTCCCTGCAGCTAGTGTGCGCTGAGCATCTTCACATGTTCCTGATCATACAATCACCTTTGAGGTTTGCTTCCCTCAGCCCATGCAGCCGGTGACATATGAGACTTGACTCTTGCTGCAGATGTCATTATTGATGCATCAGGCAAAGCATGAGTCGTTAGCAGGTAGGAAATTAAAATGTTCAGCAACATTTTAAGATTTGAGACATGGCAGCTGAAGATGAATCTTGGACTGGGGGAAACAGATTCTTGCTTTAAGTCCACACTTGCCCAAAGTCTGTGATTAGGAGGTGATTCCATGCTGGTGCAGTTTGAAAATATCTGTTTGCAACAGCATCACCAGACAATGAGATAAAAATGGCTGAATGTTCACTGTGAGCAAACTTCATCTGAAAGTGGTGGTGTGATCTGGAATGTGGGCGACTGTCCTGAAACATGTTCATGGTTTGCAGACACTGGGCTGAAACATGCCAGACCACTGGTCAGTCCTTTGTGATCCTGGTCAGGGAACAGACCAGATTTCAGGCTTCTCTCCAAAAGCAGTGAGAGGGCGAGAGGAAGACATGTCATTGCTGAAAAAGGCTCACAGTCACATGACTCTGAGTTTTACCTGTGGTCTGTGGGTTTCTTGTTGTGGTCTGAAACACTGAAATTGTGCCTGTAGACAAAACATAAGATGCTTCAGATTCTCAAGAGCAGCTTGTAGAAATCGGGCAAAGCGACATTGTGTCCTCAGACCTCAGCTACATTACACCCAGTTTTTATTACTTCCTGATCTACAGCTTGTCCTTTTTTTATTGTTTTGCTTCATTTTGTTTAAACAACACATTGAGGCACAGGAGCAGTTAGCTGAGTGTTTATCCTCCTCCCCTCCTTTTGAACATGTGGGATTTTGTTTAGATTTTCATTGTCCTCACAGAGTGAACGGTCTCGCTGTGGGTTATTAACATCGTCCAGATTTGTTTTCTCTTCTGAACCGGAACAAAGTGCCAAAGGACTCTGCTGCTGCCGCCACTGTTGTTACTCATTTTTGCTTTGTCTTTCTAAAGAACGTTGTGTGTACATTTGTTACCAGCTGTTTCTGTACAACGTAAAAGTTAATTAAAATTGAGTTATTTTTAATCGGTTGTCAGCATGGACTCAGAAATCCCTTTACAGTTTTGCACATTTTCTGGTGCAGATACAGAAAGTTCTTGTGCTGTTAACATTAAGGCTACAAGGAACAATTGCTGGCATTACTGACTAATCTACAGAAACTGCACTGCCTAATTTTTATTTAAACTAAAATTTCCCAGCA